ATAAGGAACTTTGTATATATATATATTTTTTTCGTTACAATAAGTTTTAGAATGTTAAAGAAATCGGCAAAAAAAAAAAAAATCGATATTAATATACATATACGTAATTATTAAATCATATAAATTCACAATTTTGATTGGCTAATCAATACGCATGATCGTCGGTCCTGAGTCAACCAAGGTTTTCCTTATTTGGGACATTCCTACCTGTAGAAAGTCCCCCATGCTATTTTACAGTAGATTATTTAAATAGTGCATGCACAAAAATTAACAATTGCACAAAAAATAAAATAACATTCCTGTATAAAAAAGAATCGATATCACATGTTCAATTTTTAATTATATAAAATAAAAATTAAAGTCGCCACTCTAATGATCAAACCCCTGCGCTAGGGCCGTACCTTTGAAAAGTAGGGGCATCTAGTCAGAAGCACGGTCTCGAACCTACAGCTGTTCGAGTAGGAAAGAGTAGCAACATGGTGCAATAACCCGCTAAGACACATCAGAATGAACTATAATTTTTCAAAACTATCTCTTTAAAAATATTATTTAGTGTTACCATAAAAAAAAAAAAAATTGCACACTACGTACGTACGTACTATACTATACTCGTAATAAATTGTCGCACGAGATCCCTCTAATCTTGAATAAATTAAATTGCACCCAATTCCAGCTTTGTTAAGAATATGCACTGTACGTACAAAGCTCGTTTGTTACGAATTAAGCTCACAGGTATTTGACGTTGTCTTTCACTAGATCCAGCACACTCCCGTTAGTTTAATGAATGAAAAGAAAAGAATTTATGACCAGCTTATTCAAGTTTATGAAGCTTTATTCGTGTTAATTTAGCAAGTACAAAACCATTTATTAGTAAATTATGAGTTCATGAATGTTATTAATACAAAAAAATCATTCACTAATTTCTTTGTCGCATTAATTTTTTGAAAAGCATAAAGAAAGTCTGCGAATATAAGTAATCTAGTTGGAATATTCTCACTTCATTATTATGAATATGGAACTGAAGTCGAAGAATGAAAATAAAGCATTCATATCGTCATCAAAAACATATGTATGATCTGAACGGCTTGGCTATTGTTACTAAGGGATTTGATGAAATGCACATGGTGTTGATTTTGTTAGATGATCAATAAGCGCGAAATTATTAGTCATCAAGCGACAGTGTATCTTTACATGAAAATGACGCAATGGCTAATTCGCAACATAATTATGCAAAAAGAGATGAGAATCTAGTGGGTTCTGTCAGATTTTATAATGATGGAGATGTGATATTTCCTATTTATCGTTCGATCATTAGTTGTCTTTTTCCTACAATATGAAGAATACATAGCTCGCATATTTGCACATAATCCAGGCAAAGTAATACAAGGTAATATTATTAGACTTATTTTTGTTCAGTTACTATCAAGAACGTATTAATTTATCAATTTTGTAAAAAAAAGGTTGAAGTAATCCAAGATGCTTTTCGGAAGCTAGCGTAAAACTTAGGCCTAAAACTAAATCAAGAATTTTGAATCCGGCTCCAGGAAACGGCGTTCTCGACCCTTGAATTATTTATTTATTTTACATATTGTAAGTTTTAATTTTATCAATTTTAAATGGGATTCTGATTTGGTTACTGGAGTTAGGAACATAAAAATAAGTCATTCAATTATTATTAAAAATCAGCGGGTATGAACAATGTGGACGGCCGAATATGCGATTGGAGCTAGAATGTATGAAAATAAAGCATTAATTCACCATCAAAATTCTGCAGGCACTTTATGAATATTCTGACTTGGTTATCGATAAAAAAGGCATTTACTCTTCTTCAAAATTTTTTCAGCCGAATATTGAGCTGGAATTAAGATGGATAAATAAGGTATTTATTTATATGTATTAAAATTTCAGTTATAATATAAATTGCTAATTATAAAAAAATTTTAATCTTATTGTTTTATGTTTTTATTTATTATATGAATAATGAAATAATTAAAAAAAGGTCTGGAAGAGAAATTAAAGATTGCCGAGGAAAGATGGGTGTTTGTAGGAAGAGTTTGACGGTGATATGCACATCGCTCTAGTTACATAGCATTTTGAGACATTAGTAAAAAATTTCAAATGCTGTTACAATGAATTATACCGACATTTAATATTAAAATTTGAAAAAAAAATATCAGTATATAAAGATTTTAGGGAATTTACATATAAGGGCCCGGAAATGAAATTAATTGTAAATAAGGGCCTAGAATCGAAATAAACTAATTTCGATATATGTAATATTTTAGAGTAAAAAATCTACATTAAAGTTAGTTTAGAAATTAGAATTTTAGAATGTAGTTTCATAATCGAAATTTCAAGTTATGTATCGACAGTTTTTAAAAAACGTAATTTTCTCATTATACCTATTTAGCTTTTTTAATAATCCTAACTGCCGCAACAAAATTTCATGGCAGATTCTCGATTTTGATTGATTATCAAAAAATTTGGCCGAAATTACTCAGAATTCTACGATGTTTATTAGTCTATTTTATTTATTTATCATATCGATATAATTTTTAATGATGATTAAATCTTTACAGGGGATATAATTGTTCAAATAATCACAGAGGTGGGAGCCGGACATTGACTCAAATTAGAAAGGTCTTGCACTCCGCTTTCCTTCTCACTTTCAGTTTTAATGTTATATCTTAAAGCGCCTCTTGAATGCGTGCCAGGTTGGTGGCGCAGTTAGCCACGCCATAGCAAAATCATGTAGCTTAGGCTAACTACGCCACCAACCTGACACACATTCAAAACGTGCTATACCCAGTAGGGGTGATGTTATCGATTATAATCTAGGGGATTATATCGTTAAAAAATTCTCCTGATGTATGGGTGCTGGTCAAAATCCCGACAAACAGAATCCCGACAGGTTATAATTCCGAAATCCCGACAGTAAAAATCCTGACAAATCCCGACAACAAAAAAATCATTACCGTAAAGTATGGAAAATAAGCACAGCACCTCTACTCTATTTTTTTTCAATTTCAGATTAGCAGAAATAGCAATAAGTTATTTCCGTTAATCTGAAATTGAAAAAGCAGGGTAGAGGGTGCTGTGCTTATTTTTCATACTTTACGATATATTCGGATAATTCAGATCGTTCAGATATCCAGATAATCCAACAAGTATATGGATAATTATCCAGATATCGATAGTAAATGGATATCCGAATAAATACAAATCCGGATATCTACTAGTTATCCGGAGCACAGTACTTGCTTATTTACGATCAATAAACTTAATTTATACTTAGACTAAATTAACATTAGTGAAATGAGATGATGAACTAATGACTAAAAACGCTATAAGGTATAGGTAGATAGTCAACAAACGAAAAAATATAAGCATATCTGTGCAACCCTGTTTATAAAAATATACGAATCAATATCACGTGTTCAATTTTTAATTATATAAAATAAAAAATTAAAGTCGCTACTCTAATGATCAACCCCTGCGCTAGGGCCCCTGTGCTGACCTACCTTTGAAAAGTAGGGGACACACAAAGTCTCAAACCTACAGTTGTTCGAGTAGGAAAAAGTAACAACATGATGCAATAACCCGCTAAGACACATCAGAATGAACTATAATTTTTCAAAACTATCTCTTTAAAAATATTATTTAGTGTTACCATAAAAAAAAAAAAAATTGCACACTACGTACGTACGTACTATACTATACTCGTAATAAATTGTCGCACGAGATCCCTCTAATCTTGAATAAATTAAATTGCACCCAATTCCAGCTTTGTTAAGAATATGCACTGTACGTACAAAGCTCGTTTGTTACGAATTAAGCTCACAGGTATTTGACGTTGTCTTTCACTAGATCCAGCACACTCCCGTTAGTTTAATGAATGAAAAGAAAAGAATTTATGACCAGCTTATTCAAGTTTATGAAGCTTTATTCGTGTTAATTTAGCAAGTACAAAAACCATTTATTAGTAAATTATGAGTTCATGAATGTTATTAATACAAAAAAAATCATTCACTAATTTCTTTTGTCGTATTAATTTTTTGAAAAGCATAAAGAAGTCTGCGAATATAAGTGGTCTTAGTTGGAATATTCTCACTTTATCATTATTATAAATATGGAACTGAAGTCGAAGAATGAAAATAAAGCATTCATATCATCATCAAAAACATTTGTATGTTCTGAACGGCTTGGCTATTGTTACTAAGGGATTTGATGAAATACACATGGTGTTGATTTTGTTAGATGATCAATAAGCGCGAAATTATTAGCCATCAAATAACAGTGTACCTTTATATGAAGATGACACAATGATTGATTTGCAACATAATTATGCAAAAAGAGATGAGAATCTAGTGGATTCTGTCAGATTTTATAATGATAGAGATGTGATATTTCCTATCATTAGCTGTCTTTTTCCTACAATACGAAGAATACATAGCTCGCATATTTGTACGTAATCTAGACAAAGTAATACAAGGCAATATTATTAGACTTATTTTTTGTTCAGTTGCTATCAAGAACGTATTAATTTATTAATTTTGTAAAAAAAAGGTTGAAGTAATCCAAGATATTTTTCGGAAGCTAGTGAAAAAATTTAGGCCTAAAACTAAATCAGGAATTTTGAATCTGGTTCCAGAAGACGATGCTCTCAACCCTTGAATTATTTATTTGTTTTACATACTGTAAGTTTTAATTTTATAATGTTATTTAATTCAATTCAATTTTAAATGAAAGATTCTGATTTGGTTACTGGAATTAGGAACATGAAAATAAGTCATTCAACTATTATTAAAAATTAGCGGGTATGAACAATGTGGACAGTTGATTATTGGCTGAATATGTGATTGGAGCTAGAATGAAAATAAAACATTAATTCATCATCAAAATTCTGCAGGCACTATATGAATATTCTGACCTGGTTATCAATAAAAAAGGTATTTATTCTTCAAAATTTTTTCAGGCGAATATGGGAGCTAGGTATTTATTTATATGTATTAAAATTTCAGTTATAATATAAATTGCTAATTATAAAAAAATTTAATCATATTGTTTTATGTTTTTATTTATCATATAAATAATGAAATAATTAAAAAAAGGGCTGGAAGAGAAATTAAAGATTGCTGAGGAAAGATGGGTGTTTGCAGGAAGAGATATTCACATCGCTCTAGTTATATGACATTTTGAGACATTAGTAAAAAATTTCAAATGCTCTACAATGAATTATACCGATATTTAATATTCAAATTTGAAAAAAAAATATCAGTATATTAAGATTTTATGATATCGTTATAGCCAGATATTAGTACCAGGAACGGAGTTTCACAGAAGTAAAACGAAGGGTATGGTTTACAGCCATGTTCGATGGTGTACGTTCCCAAACTCTCATATCTGGTTGGTTAGCATCCTTTCCTTTTCCACTTTTACGGATATTTTCGGGAGTGTCATGTGGACTGTGCCCTAATTTCATTTTGATAGCAATGTGTGCATTATAGCTGGCGAACTGCACGCATGTGATATAATTATTAGATGCATTCCAGCGCTAATAGCGCTGGATATTCAAACTTTATTAAAGAGTTATAGTATACATCAGTGTGTTTGATATATAGTTGAAGAGATATATAGCATGCATCAGTGTGTTTGATATATAATTAACAGAGATATATAGTATACATCAGTGCGTTTGATGTATAATTGACAGATATATCAGTGCATTTGATGTATAATTGGCATTAGCCGGCGGTTTCCCACCCACATAAATACAGGCCGCTTGTTAGCCAGAAGCTTTGTAGTCAAATGATCTTAGCCGGTGGTTTCCCACCTGCACAACGTGCGTGAATCTATGTGCCCCCAAACCGGTTTGCTGATCACTCAATTTTGGGAAGTTAAGTTATTGAAAATCCTCTTAATAAATTCGAAAGGTTTTTAAAACTTCTATTGATGATTTCTCAATAACTACTTGATCAAATTCAGTAAAAATTCTTTATTTTAATTATATAGGTTTGTAAAATTTAGGTAAAAAAAAGCTTATTGAATTTTGGTTAGTAGTTATTGAGAAATCATCGCCAAAAGTTTAAAAAAAACTTAAAATATCTTGAAAAAAAATTAAAATCGAGTAAAATTTTCTTTGAACTTTAAACAAAAATTTCTCGACAACCGGCTATTTGAATTTGATAAATTTTTTTTTTATTCTGATTCTATGGATTCATAGGATTTAAAAAAAAAAATTGATCGAATTTGAATAGCTGGTTGCTGAGAAATATTCATTAAAATTTAAAAAAAGATTTGGCCACAGCTTTTTTTTTTAGAGACGTCTAAATTTTGA